CCGTGAGTTTTCCATCAATAATGTCTGTGACCTACATTTTCCAAATAAAATCAGTTTCCAATATTGACAAAAATTATTCTTTAATGAACAATTAATGACACGCATCTTGCATTCGCGATTAACAAATTTTTTCCCATAATTTTTAATTATATATAACCAATCGTCCTTTTTGATAATTTCCCACTCGCATGTCTGTTTCAATTCATCGCCATTATCAGCCCGAGGATGCTTATCTGTTTAAATAGTAAACTATAAATTACGTTGCTACACTGACTTTCACGAATAAGAAAGGCCTCACCTATTGCTAATCTTTGTAAATCATCTCCCAATTCTTCAACCTTTTTATTGGATTCATGAGACTATCAAATGCAAAGGACAGAATAAGACGTCTTATAAGTGTCAGATTCACTATTAACAAAATAACTTGATTACTTAAGTTCCGAAATATTTACACACTTTATTCGACTAAAATATGAATGCTTCCATTAGGTATATTTTCAAAGTACTTGCGAATCTCCTTTAAACCAAACATCTCTTCTATGTTCAGATCATTTTCAAGATCAAGGTCATGAATTTCGTTGACACGGTTGTTTGGAATGTTTATTTTCCATAGAATGAGTTGGCTGGTATCAAATTTAGCGAAGGTGTGCTTTTGGTCATCTCTGATCAACTCTTTGAATCGATTAACCTTAACGTTTGTATTAACTTCAATGTCAAAAGTACACGAAGGTCTGTTTCCTTTGGTAAGGCAGGTGAGGACGACCATGGTTTGATACATGAGGAGACCCATAATGAATAAAAGATGCATATTTATATTTCAATTTTTACATTAACTTTTTACCTGACCAGCGGTTTGTTCTAAATAATAAACCATAGTCAGTTAGACTGTTATATGCCAAGCCTTTTATTCACAAAAGCAAAAATACCTCAAATGTCAATCCAGATCTTGTTTTGTAAGTCTAGATCTTTGATTTATGATAAAAGCCAGAATACTTGTCAAACACCAAAGTTGGTGGCTTTCGATCTTATTGTTAATCTTGATCATCCTGGCTTCTTTGAACATTTTTGGCTAAAAGGTAATTACGGTTTTATGATAATCGATCGATGGTATTTATTGAAAATACAAAGTCTTATCACCAAAAACGGAAATTAATTATGTAGAATGAATGCTATTATCTGTTATCACCTATTTCAAATCACAAAAAGGAAAGATTTGTAAAAATAGTAGATGATAAATCAGATTACGTACTGCTAATTCCTATTCAAAAACGGATTAATATATGATTAACCTGTATACGTAATTTAAATGCGCTAACATCAGTAGGATAATAAAAAATTACCGTTTATCCGAGAATCTGCAAATCATAGATTCTAATCGCTCTATTTCCATTTTTGAATTTCTTTTTAATGACGCTCTGTCTTACGATCTACAAAATGTAAATCAGGGATGTGGTTTTTTTATTAGTAATTCAGAACTGCGTAATGAGTGAGATAGAACATACCAGAACTTCTTTCAGCTTAGCGCTGAGGAAAGTTCATCACTATAGCAACACAAAAATATTTCTCTTGGCCGGAGTTATTAATAGATTCTCTAAAAAATAACGACTGCGGATGCGGTGGACCACACTACTGCGCATGAGCCAGTGACGTATTTTTGCGGATGACGTTTTACTGTGCATGATATCTAAGCCACCTACGTGAATCAAAAAAAAGATACTCAGTCCTTTATCATCTGCGCATTTGCATTAAGCGCCTTCGGCCAGATGATCGATCTAGTAAACCTGTGTAGCAATTTTGACTTTCTTGTTTTGATGAATATCCCAGGGACACATAAGATAATAGAAATTATCTTTA